ACATAAAACAAATTCTAAGAGCTATATTTCACCGCAACAATCATAAAATGTAAAGAAACGCGCATAGAGAAATGCAACAAAGTAGGCCTAGATAGCCCACATGAAATCGAGAACATTTCTGGCCGCGAAAAAATGGCAAGCGTGGGCTGATTTGTGAGTGTATTTTGGGAACCGACCCACCACCGACACCGTCCACCTGTGCAGTGCCAAGGCGCTACGAGAGGACATAGCACTTTGGCACGGAGCGCCCCGAACATGCCCCGAACAGTTGAACACGTTGCAAGACAACACAAAACCAAAGTAAAGATGTCCTGTACTCCTAAAGTAGCGGACCCCACCAGTCTCGGAAGAACTGTTTAAACACGACCGTCCCCGCCGTTGCCACGTACCTAACGGCGAGGCAGGGTCATCGTGATCTCCCGAAGCCATCATCTGGCTAATGATTCTCTAAGTTCATTAGTTCTGAGAAGTCTATTAAAGACTGACCGATGTTACCGCTTCAAAGCTTGTCACCGCTGTAATTACAAAAGATGGGAGTCTAGCGCGTCACGTCGCCTTAATAAGACTGAAGAATGGGACGGAAAGCTTGACGGGAAAACGTGCACCAAAAACGCTGAATGAATCAGCACTTTGGTTGTGTGACTACTGACTAAACATACCAGGGCCAAATATAGACCCAGCTACATTTTCTTGAGATTGCATTGACTATCTGTTTCTTGCTAATTCACGTGGGCTTGATCGCTCCGGGGGTTGCGGATGAGGTATGTACCCCCCAGGCGTTCACGATTACTTAACTACATTTTGTCAGGACACGTGAAATACATATTGATCAGTAATATACTCACATACCGTTAAACTGGCATGCTTCGAATGGCGGTAATGCTATGCAGTGGGAACCCCGTGGCTTGGTTACAACATGAACTTTCTCACACAACTGTACAAAATAATGGTTGGGAAGGTTATTACGAAAACATGTGAGCAATGTTACGTGTTACTTAAATTACTTTGAGGAAACGTACTTCAAGAACGAAAACCTCTCAATATATACCAACAAGATGAGACTTGGATGTCATTGCTTTGGTTTGAGAGCCATGGAAGAGATTTGAAGGAGAGGTTTGAAGGAGCTTTATTGCATTCAAACCGATAACACATTTGAGACCAAACACAATTTTGACTCGGAAATATTTCTATTAAACATTTATAAACAGCATGAGTGAGTTGGGTTTAACGCCGCTTTGAACTGCATTTCACTTATGTCGTGTAAGGAAAGCCGAAAGTGATGCACATCTTAGACGTTCATACCACTTGGGTGAAAATAATGAACAATGGTATGGTGATGACAAACCAAGGATCATAATCAGCGAATCTGGAATTCGAACCCACGCGAATAACTATTAACCTGACAAGATAAAGGGACGCAACTCCACACAGCGGTTGGCCGTTTGTGCCGTACCGCTAGGAGCAGACCGATAAACTAAAAAAGATGGCTTTAACATAGAGTTCATAGCAACTACATGCCTGAACCGGCCAGAGTCACTTATCTAAACGTCCACCTACCTGTCGTATATTCAGTGCAGTCGAGATTAAAGTACCTACCGATAACTGACACATACGACTTAATCCATGTTAGAGTCTGTCGACACCTAGGGGATATGGGTAACGTTTTACAACTCATATCCCAAGAGTAGGCGTAGTTTAAGTCCTATAGACAAAGTTCAATTACTCAACTACAATATGTTTATGTGTTTATTCTATAATACGGGTGTTTCGTCTCTCTTATTGCACATCACTACAGTATCAATCGCCTCACGTGGATTTATATGATAAAGATCTGGCGATACCACTTTGCCGACTTCCATATCTAAGGGAACCCAGGACACGATCAATATTATTAGTGGCATTGGAAGCTGTACGTTGTATGAATGAAGACTTGGTACATATGGAGTTCAATTTCTTTATTCCTTCAATGCGATGGTTCGCTGCAGATGCTAGTGCCTTATCAAGCAAGTGATATTTGTACTTAAAGTTGAGGGGCGGTCGGGTAGCCTAGTGGTTAAAGCGTTCGATCGTCACTCCGAAGACCCGGGTTCGATTCCCGACATGAGTACAATGTGTGAAGCCCATTTCTGGTGTCTCCCGCCGTGATATTGAAGGAATATTGCTAAAAGCGGCGTAAAACCATACTCACCCACTCACTCAATGAAAGCTGCGTTGAAATAATATAGAACCTGAAACACATGATGCGTGATCTATGCCTTTCGTAAGAGGTGACTAAATGGATCGGGTGGTCAGGTTTGCTGACGTGGTTGACAGCATGTCACGTATCCCAATTGCGTGTACCGATGCTCATGATGTCAACCACTGGATTGTCTGGTCCAGACTATTATTAACAGACCGTCGTCATATAGCTGAGTGCAGCGCGAAGCAAGAAACAAAAAAAATAAATGAAAATTGTACAATTCAAAATGATCAGATCTAACAAAACTCCATTGGCGTTTGCCTTTCCACGCCATTGACTGATGCGCGTACCTGCTTATACAGGGAAACGCCCACCGGAACATAAGAAAAGTTCACAGCTCTTCAATAAAATCCTATCACCCTAAAGACATGCTGAGCTTATGACCTACAGACCCCAAACGTAATAAATTCTACTGCTATATAAGTAATGCGATAGACAAACCACAGCTATGAATGCCGTACCTATAACTGAATGCTTTCGACACGATTTGACCTACAAACCTGACCTACATACGAAGGGACATTCACTGGCGTCTAGAGTGCGCAGATCTCCGCTGTCAGCGTCACTCCCCTCCCTCCTACCTGTTGATACACCCTCAAGACGCGATACAAACAACCGAACACCGAAACAGTGAAAAATATTCACCCAAGGTGTGTGACACACATTAACGCTCCATGACACACAATGGACTTGAAAGGTTGAGTCATATAGTATAGGTAAAACATGTAACATGCTCTAGACATGCCCTGTGAAAAGACAGGCTCGTATTTCGATGGGTGGTCTTTTAGCACGTTTAGCCATGTGGATAAATGTTAGCTACTTCCGTTTAGACCGAGTTCGATTCTGTCAGTGAGTACACTAGGCTGTTTGCAAATATGGTTGAACAGACCCCCTTCGTTACATACACCCATTTATTCTCATAAGGTGAGTGAGGGATTAACGATGGATAAGTGTGTACTCAATTCTCAGCTCCCTGGGGAGTATACAACCAAACCGTCGTGTGAAGCGCTGGAAGCTTAACAGTCACCATTTTCATCTCGTCCTACCGGGTACCCAATCACTGCTGGGTATTCCCAAGATGCTTCATACAAGCATTGGAACTGACTTCATTGCTATTAATAAATCATTAACTCTTCACTCCTGAAGAGTTCCGTGTAAACTACCGGCTATTAACAACTATTGAAACATGTCCCTTTCCCCCAGGAAATCCAGACGCGTAGATATACGATGTAATTAATACGGTAATTGTATAAATGTCAATAAGTTCTTAAGAAGTGATGACAGCGAGCTCGCGGCTTCAACGTACCCACGCAATCCTGTATGCGACTTCACAAAGACTGTGAACTGTCTACTCCAGCGTTTGTCGTCAATTACGACAGAGCATAGTCGAGGCCCTGTGGTTTTCACAAAGACGTCATCACCCCTTAATACAGGGAAGTGGGTCTGAACGCTCTAATTCAACTTCTTACTGCGCAGTTGACCATCTCACAGCCCTACCCACACAACCAACACACCCGTTTCGGCCCCTGTATTGTGTGAGGTCTGTCGCCACTGCCGCGCCACACGTAGATACGGTACGATTTCCAGGAAACAATGTCTATTACGTAATATGTCACCGGTGCAAACACTTTGAACTAAAGTTTATTTCATCTAATGTAATTGTACTGTATAATACCGAGGTTGAAAACCCTTGCAGCGGATTAAAGTCCATGGTCGTCCAAAAGTCACGTCTTGGCATTAAACTGAAAAGAAATCTGCGAAACGTCTCACAAAGTGAGAACCCATTCTACAGCTAATGGTATGACGTCAAACTGAGCATAATCTGTTATTTTTGTCAATATTTGCGAAATCGATCAATTATTGTTCCACTTGCATAAATTACTCGATATCTAGTGGGCAACACGTGCACTGACACTAGCTAAATATCAGCTCGTGTTGTGACATCACCCAACCATCCTTAATTAATCATTAGTGTGATTAACACCACACAACTTCTGGGATACGTCAAACAGTACACTTTGATGAAGACTCCCTACACGACGCCTACAACGCATGGAGCTGGCAGTGCAATGACCCGTATCGCTTGAGGTCTGCGCTTTGTCATTGTGGGTGATCTCAACGTTCATTAACCGGCTGCTCAAGTTCCATCCCTTCCCCAGGGGAAAAGCAGATCTTGGCACAAGGGGGTGGGGACGGCAGATGCGCTCTGGCTTTCTTCCCCCGAAGTGCTAAAGATTCCTTACAGACGAAAACTGGGTGGAGATGCTATTCCCTTTGCCTAATTTGCAACATTGGGACCGATTGCCAAATTGAACCTTTTGCAAACATAACGGATATATTCGGGGGTAAATGTGTATTTGTTCCATAAGCTTAGCGCATGTTAGTTCCTTGAGCGCGTCGCCGTTTCGACTGGCGCTTTGTTAGCTCGACGCAGCGCCGTTAGATAATGAATGAAGTTCTACTAGTGACTGTGTCATTGATCTATATCCCTGTTACTACTGTTCAACGCATCGTAGTAAAATAATGCAAGGCTCCGCGCAGGAAGCGAACAGAGAAATCGCTTGCAAACTTCTAGCGTTAGAACAAACAGAATGGGGAGACTTTCCCTCAATTTACACACGCACGCCCAAGGGTTACTGGTGTAACGAACTGGGCTGTCCCACGTTGTTTGCAAGGGAGGTCAACAGTGCAAACGAAGAATGGACACCGAAAAACACAATGGTGCCAGTGTTGAGATTTTGCAAACATGCATGTAACTTACTTGTTTTTGAATAGCAGATTAATCCTCTCCGGTGGAATCCGTATCTTGCGAGCTATGGCCACTTTTAGTCCATGCACAGTTTCTACTGTAGGTACAACCACTCGCACGGAACCCCCGGTCGTGGGGCAGATATACAACTTTAGTTGACCAGGTCGTGCGTTGACGTTGTTTGGTTTAGCCATTCGGTTCACTGTTATTTCCTCTTCAGCCATAACGCCAATTATAAGTCCCAGAAATATGCAGATAGTAAAAGAAAATGAGAAAAGTCTCTTTTGTTGTTTTGTTTTCAACAATACATTCAGGATATAAACACACCCGCCCCCTTCTATCTGTGACGAGCGTCTGACGCCTGAATGTTCATAGCGAAGAAAGATCTTTATATAGTCGGGCGATCGACCAATCAGAATCGGGCGAATCCATTGTGGTTGCGTGGGAATCGTTGATATGAACAGCTTATGGTGCAGCATACGCAGCAACGTTGTAACTTACTTCTCTGTTAAAAGTGATATAGTGTCATGTATTTAGGACATTGTCTTGAAGGGAAACTGTCTGACGAATGTTTTAGATTAATACAAAGTTTGTAATCCTTTTTGTAATCACCCGACAATGCTCCTCGGTGCGCGACGCTAGTTTCCTTCCGTTATGGGTTGTAATGTTTACATTCGCAACTCATGTAATAATTTCCGAGAATAACTGCCTCAACTCTTACATCCATTCGATTTCATGTGCTACATTTGGAACTTGATAAATAACACATGTCAACAAATAAAACTGCAATATCATATTTGGCAAATATTTCACATATTCGAGAGGAACGCATGGCCAGTAAACCTCTTTCATTCGTTCATGCTGTCTTAGCAAGTTTTGTGAAAAGGGTTTTCTTGAAAATAAACATTTGTATTAAATAAGTCCTGCTAAAGTAAAAACTTTGAATTAATAATTATACGATTATACGGATAAATCGACATGTTTTCAATAGACGCTTCGGCTTCAAGTTAACGATTAATCGCCAATAGTTTAATAGGAGAGTGAGTATTGCTTTGCGCAACTCTTATTAATATGTCATCAATATTACGTCGCGATGGAAGTGTGAGTGTGAGTGTGAGTGTGAATGTGTGTGTGAATGTGTGTGTGTGTGTGTGTGTGTGTGTGTGTGTGTGTGTGTGTGTGTGTGTGTGTGTGTGTGTGTGCATGCATATGTATCTGTATGTGCGTGCGTGCGTGAGTATGATTGTTTGTGTGTGTGTGTATGTGTCTGTGTGCGTGATCGGCGTATGTGTGTGTGTCTGTGTGTGTTGGGGTAGGGGGTCATCAGATATTGGCTTCACACAATGCATTTTCAATACCGTATTTCCTCTATTAAATGAAGGTTATTCAATACACGCCGGCCTATAATTGACGACGAGACATACACCCGGTCCAATAAATAGAAACCGGGTCTCTAATATAGGCAGGTTCAATCATCTGATGAAATGAATGATCTCTATCACATTAGCTTACGGAATGTAATGATCATTTAGTAATGACCGTTTCCTGCAGTTTTTCCCTTTGTATCACTGAAAAATTTGGGATAGGCAGTTATTTGCCACTGTGCCAGCATTAAACAAAATAGACGCCGGGCCCCCAATACACGCTGGCCCCTATAATAGAAGCCGGGTCTGGCTTGCGCGAAAGTAATAGAGGCGTCTAAAAGAGGAAATACGGTTTGTATTTGAATTGTATGTCCTTAAATGGATAAAAAGTGAATGTTGTTGGCGGCAGCGATTGGCGTTATAGGCGTGTCTCTCGGAAAGGATAAATCCGAAAACTCCCAAGTACGCCCATATTACTTGGACAGAAAAATATCCTTTTTGAGAGTAGCTGGGGTTCTTAAATTAATATTTTATCTTAAAAGTCACTTTACAAATACATAAATCAGAGTGTCAGAGACTAAATCCTGGTCTATAGTTAGCCGTGTATATCCGGGCTAGAATTGGTCTTCAGCAACCAATGCGAGTGCGTCGTTAAGCAACACCCAAACAAATATAACAGACAACCATATTGTTTGAACGCATGGACCATCTTTGCTAGGCCTGCCAATTCATCTGGGCCTAGTTTCCCTTTAAGATCTACACTGGTGTCAGTAGACTAACATCTAGTCTCTGAAATTAACATATGGTACAGAAACAAAATAGTTGTTAAATTATCTTAATAAAAAAATTTAAAAAAGGAGCCCAGAGACTCTCTTCATGTTCAGTTTTTTCTGATGCTGCAGAAATCTGGACTTGCCGAACATTATAGACTTGCATGGGCTGTATTTGATATATTTGTATCAGGGTCTGTAAGACAGACTATGATGTCAGGAGCTGTAAGAGTTATTAAAGTTGGAATCAGTGAGCGGATTGGCTTACACTTGCACTAGCTAGATGAGCTAGGTTTGTTTAAACATACGAAGGTTGATTGAGACGTTCTGAGCCTCGAATAGATAGACTTAACATTGATTTTCCAAGATAATCCTCTTCCACCTTGACACACTTTTGCCAAGGAAGGACTTTGTTCCAAGTCCTTCTCTTGGCTGTCCAAAACAAAAAGTTCCCCAGTTCCCCACAGCTGTTATGGCGTCATCGTCGGAGTCGAAATGGGTTTTCTTCATGTTTGGGAACAGATGGAACTTTTACGGAGACAGATGAGGAAAATAAGACGGGTGCCGAAGGAGTTCAAAGCCGCACTCGTATATTGTTGCCATGGAAATGTTTGATTTGTGCACTGGCGCTTTGTCTTGATGAAAGAGCACACCTTTTCTCAGCTTCCCACGTCTCTCAGTCTTAATTGTATCCCATAATTACCTCAGAACTCCAGCATAATATGCTCGTTTATTGTCGATTATTCCAGAACACGTAGGCCACAATCTTTCCTGGCGATGGTACAATCTTTAGTTGTGGTGATGTCAAATGCTTCCTTTGTTTTGATTGTTATTTGGACTTAAACTGGAGGAAGAGAACCCAGGTTCCTTCATTGCCACGAATCGTTGCAAGAACCTTTATGGGTCAGCTTCAAACAGAGCTAGATTATCACGAGACATGTTGTGCCTGGTGCGCTTTTGATCAGATGTCAGAAACTTTGGAACACACCAACCAGCTTATACTTTCTTCTTTGCCAAAGTGTATGCGATAATGGAATGTACTGCCTAATGAACCAGCAATTATAACTCGTTCACCGATCAGTCATCACCACATCGTGGATTCTCTGGGTAATTTCTAGCGTTGCTGACGTCCCAGGCCTATTTCCTAGTGTTGTAGTCATATCTTCATGGATGGATTTTAGTGTTAAGCACTTTTCTGCAAGTACTTGACCACTGCACATTCCTAAAGTTTGTTCATTTTCCAAAAGTCACAGACCCCTGTTTGGTTACTGACTTAAAGCGTCACATTGAAACAATTTGCTCAGTTGACTCATGTTTTTGTGGATACACCTCTATGACATCATGTTTTTCCACAACAAAAGATTTCATTATTATGCAATTTGTTTTTGCTTAGTAGAATACAAATGTCTTGAGATTATAATCCAGGATTAAGGTTGATTGCGTTTTACTTATACTCGATATAATATAAATTGTCCCCCCAAAATTCTTGAACAAAAACAATAATGCTTCATATTGTTGGAAAAAGAAGAAAGTTTCTGCCACAAAAATAACATTGTTGCAATGTGTTTTTTATAAAAAATATATTTTAGCTTTAATTACAAAAAAAATCTGATTTTGTAGCTGTAGCCATAATATAATATCTAATCTCACTATAAAATCTCTTGAAAAACAACTCACTGGAACACAATTGATATATCTTTCATAAATATATACTTAACGATTATCTGTCGAAACAGATTCCACTGGGCGTAAAAGGCAATATAGCAGTGAAAATGATATGAATGCATGGAGAAACAGTGGTGACACCAGGTGTTCGCGAAAAGGGTAAGCCTGCCCTGCCCTACCGGCAGACCCGCCACTCGCACTATTGTGTGTGTTTGCTGTCTGACGTCTAACTCATGCTTGGGTCTAGACCTGTAAAATAGAAAACAATTAGCTGTTCTATCAGGATTTTATCATATGATTCCTACAGAAGCAATTTCTGGTCTCCCCAGCCTTGATATTAATGGAATATTGCGTAAAGCGGCGCAAAACTAGACTCACCTACTCATACAGAAGCAGAACAATGGTTCGTATTAACAAAGGGTTGTTAGTGTATACTGTCTTGACGATTTTGGAAGGTAAAGACCTTCATTAAGGAAGGACGGAGTGGGTAGTATATCAATAGTTTAATCATTTTTCAGTTTTCGCAAGTACAGTTACGATGGCAACAGCTACACAGAGATGGTTTATAACTACAGTAAACAAGGTACAATCTGACACACTTATCTTTTCGATATTGTGAAATAAATGTGAAGTCTAAAATTGTAATATCTGTATCTGGAGTTTGTGGGTTCTCCGTTCTTGTTTCACAATTAACAATTATAAGTACCAAGTTTAAACCCCAGGTGACAACAAACGCACTAGCCATTTATACTTGTGTCTCAAGATATATAACATTGGGGGCACGTTGTGGATCGCACGTGACTTCATTAGCATGTACTGTGGAAGGTTATCAGTTGGCCGATTAGACTTATTAGAATACAGTTGTTTTTGTTTCTCAGAAGCATCACACTCCTAATATTTAATTTTATGTTTAAGCATTGTTAAAAAACGACTTTTTAAATTCAGATTTCGTTTTTGCACCTGGTTCCAACTAGCTATGCCATTAAAATGTGTCAGATTCGCGGGGCATACTAGAAGCGGTTGTCATAGCCAGGGGCGTGGTCAAAAGAGATCACGTGGTAATATTAACTTTAGTGTTATAGATTTGTTACCTGAAAAGAGAATGTCGAAATAATCGAAGACGTGTAGGAGAACCATGATAAATAGCAGTGGCAGTAAAAGACGAATTAGACTTAAATGTAACAGTAGTAGGGGTAGAAGGCGCATCTTCCCGAGGCAAAGAAAATAACTGACTATAAAAGTCCAGTTTCCACCTTTGCCGAACTAGGATGGAATTCCTGGGCCCGATCGTAGCGCCACCACTGGCTATTACCAGTTATGTCCCTTCTAAGCCTCTCTTATGGACCAATCAGATTCCACCTCGCATATCACTTGCATTTGCTTCAAACAAAATGGCGACGCCCTGTCAGGAAGATCTGATCGATAATCAAGTGATAAGTGATCAATATAGTGGTAAAGTGCATCAAATCACGTGAGCACCTTGATTATAAACATGAAAAGATTTGGAAAATATCTGTTGACAACGAGTTGGCAGTGCACATGCTTTGTAAATCCTGAGATCGACCGAAATCTGCAC